GTGAAAGTGGTGGGGTGAGACCCTTTGTCCAGGGTGGGACACACACACACAGAGCTTCCACGCGCACTACATCGCACAGAACCAGAAGCAACATAACATCCGACACACAGCATCTCAGCCTCAGTCCGGCTCTCAGTCTCAGCTGTGGTGTTTTTCTGTTCCAGATGCAAGTCTTGCCGAGTTTTCACTCTGGCATACGTTTCTTGCTTCTTGTGGTTTTGCGAAGATCACGTATACAGGGTTCACTCACAGAATGATCGCGGGAAATTGTTTGTGCTTGGGTGGCTGTTTCGTGACTCCATCGGATCCTCGGCAGTGGAGTTTGCTCGGCGCTCAGTGCGAGTCACTCAACATCAAGTGAAGTCCAGGTGTTCAATATCGGAGATGGGTAAGCTGTTTTATTTGAGTTGGCATTGATAAGCTGTTTTATTTGAGTTGGCATTGATGCTATGGTCTGTTATGGATGTACTTCACAGACTGATGCAGTAGTTTTCAGTATGGCATACGTTTCTAAACATATCGGAGATATTCGGAAGCAGATGTTCGCCTTGTGGCCGAAGCGGAAGTTGGCTGTGTTTTGCGACAATTAACATGTGCTGGATTGTGACTGAAGGTTCGGAGTTGCGTCGGATTGATATGGTGCCTTTTTCCCCACATTGTTGTGTGGGGTTCTTGTTTTTTTTGCTGCGCCTCCTCGCTCCTCCTCCTCCTCCTCCGCCTTCCGCGTTCCTCCTTCCTCCTCTCTACTACAACATCTCTCACGCAACATCTCTCACAACAACATTGCTCAGAGAACATCCCACACACAACGTCTCGCATACAACATCACTCACACAACATCTCTCACAACAACAGCACAAGCGCACACACAACATCACTCACACAACATCGGATGCCAAGGGGTCGGACGCACGCCTCTCACAACAACATCACTCAGAGAACATCCCACACACAACCTCTCACACACAACAGCGCACACACAACATGGCTACAACTTTAGTACGCGGAGTATTTGGGGAGCTGGAAGATGAGAACTGGCATGCGTGGCAGGCGCAGCACTTTGCTGCTGGCCAAGGGGTCGGATGTACG